GTAGCCTAAAACTGATAGTACAAATTAGCAAAATAAAATTGCATGAGAACTAGATTAACTCAGGGACTATGAGGCTATCCATGCAGATACAAGGCAAGTATTAGCATACCTTAAACAGGAACAAACAAAAATCATAACAACTAACCACACAAATGAAAGCCAAACAAATGTAAGGACAAATTAGCCAAATTTCAGCACTTAACCTCTTCTTTTTAATCTCTTTCCCCTTCTTGCCCTGCACGCCGCTCTTCTTTCCACCCCCAACTCCACCAGAACCAAAAGGCGAAACAAGGCTCCCGACACACTCCCAAGCATCTATCACAGGGTCATTAGCCGAGGCACCGAAAGAAGCACTCATACCATCGACAAAAGCAATCGTAACGGTTTCTGTCTTCAAATCAACCCAATTGAGAAGAAATCCTTCGTAATTTAACAGAACCTTACCACTGTCCTTTGAATAAGCCACCGGGTACAGATTCTGGCAAGGCTCGGGAACAGGCGGATCAAAGCAGAGTAGTTTGACCCAGGACTCCTTCACCCCGTACTCCTTCATCACCCAAATCTCGATAGTGTTCTTCTTCCCAGAGACAACTGCCGCCAGGCACCCTCCCAGCACCTCCACCGACACCATGCCGCTAAACTCCGGCTTTGGGACTTCATATTGTTCTTCGTTAGATAGATCAAACGCCATTATCACGGGAAAGGGGGAGTCCAAGGGTCGAAAGCATTTGTGCAGTGCATCATTCAGACAAACGCCCCATGAACAGAGAGGATCTATCCCATAGGGGAGTCCATTGACTTTCTTCCAGGAATTCGAATTGACGCTGTAAATAGTGGTATCAGATAACTCATCCCCGAGCCAATCGTAATCCGGGACCACCCGCACGACTTTGTAGTCATCATGCTTCGAGTCGTAGCACAGAGCGTATTGGCCTGGCCAGTGACTGAACGCGGGAGGCGGCGGCAGTTTGTTGAGTTTTCTCGTGGAGGGATTCCAGAGGGCGACCTCGTCGGAGTGTGACACGAGGAGGACCAGGCCGTTGCAGGAGCAGAGGGCGTTCCGAGGCTTGAATCGGATGTTTCCAGCGTCTAATAGCTTGAAGGAGTCCAGATCTACCCAGAAAAGCTCGTTCGATCGCACTATGAGGGTGCGATTGGAGTTGGTCTCGGCTGAGAGGCGGAGATGGAGTTTGATGAAATCGCGGCCGTCGATCATGGCGCGCCATGGCTTGGAGACACGGCGAAAACGCAGAAGAGATTTCACTGGGAGACGGCTGAGGATGGTGGTGATGATTTCCGGAGGCACGTCGGACATTCTGAAAATGGAGCTTTTTTTCTTATTTTTTTTTTTTTCGTCGTTCGGAAATGGTGTGAGAAGTGGCGGGTTTTTCACTATTTTTCTGATTTGGATTTGGGATATCTTTTCTCCAAAAAGCGAGCCCTCGATTTACGCTTGAAACGATTGATGCCCGCCAAAATATCCACATTCACAATTTACACGTTAGAAAACAGTCAATCAGTCTTAACAAATCAGCTATCCAATTGAATCTACTTTAGATGTATACACCAATGGTAACCTATAACCCAACCAAACACTAAACAGAACACTAATAAATAGAGTAAAATCTTCCCCAACAATCGTTAAGTCCATCCTAACCACCCCCAGAAAAGCAAAAATTCAAGGGAACAACCAAGAATATCCAGCCCATGGCCCACAAACAAGAACGAGATATCCAGCCCATGGCCCACAAACAAGAATGAGAAACTCCCCTAACGTAAAGGGATTCTTGGATATAAAATTTTTTGAATTTGTTCGGATTTTTTTTTTTGGTTTCTTTAATGTGATATAATTAATTGTTAGTGGTTATATTAAAATAATATTTAAAATAAAATAATTAAAGTTGATTTGAATAGAGTTAAATTATGTGAGTAAATAAATAGTAAATTAAAGTTGATGTAATGTATAAGAATGATCCTTTAACTAGTTACAGACCAACAGACAAAAAAACCCACTCAAATATTCACCACCGGTCAGAAACTAGGATAGCCTGAATTTTCAGTTTTTAGTTTTCTGGATATTTATTATGTGGGGGAATACCATGAGAATTCAAGCTATTATTTCATTCTATTTTTCCTCATCAGCTACTTGAAAGTTGCACCTAAGCTGTTAATTGTTGTTATTCATGGCAATTGGAGTATGAGAGTGGATGAGTTTGAACTTATGCCAGGTCATTGTTCTTCAAATTGCCTCCTTTCTTTATGATGGGTTGGTTTAAACCTTTGAACTCGATCTTACTATAAAAATAATAAAATTAATATATATATATATATATATATAGGGGCGGATCAAATGCGACCAGCTTTTAAAATGCGCCCAACTCTTAAAATGCAGACAAACTCTTAGCAACTACAGAGAACTAACCTAGCAACTACTAACTTAGCAACTATAGAGAACTAACTTAGCAACTACAGAGAACTAACCTAGCAGTTACAGAGAACTAACCTAGCAAGTACAGAGAACTAACCTAGCAACTACATATAACTAACCTAGCAACTACAGAGAACTAACCTAGCAACCACTAACCTAGTAACTACAGAGAACTAACCTAGCAACTACAGACAACTAACCTAGTAACTACATAGAACTAACCTAGTAACTACAGAGAACTAACCTAGTTGGAAGGTTAGTTGTCAACGGGCAACGCCGGAAGTCAACGGTCAACGCCAGAGTAAATGGGTCAAAATAATATTTAAATAATTAAAATAATAAAAATAAAAGAGTAAATCTTGACCATGTACCAAATCTTGTGGCTAAAAATGAGTCTCACGTCCTCACTTTAAATAAGTGGATGCATCGGAACATCCTTATATATATATATATAGAGAGAGAAAAGATCATATGAGAGAGATAGTGAAAGAAATAAAAATGATCTTACACTTGGATTCATAATATCAATAGTTAGGATTAAGCCAAAATTAAAAAATCTGATCATTCACACGTTGGCAAGTGTAAATAAATAGCATCTTGTGGTCCAATGTATATCATTTAAGGGCAATTATGTAATTTTTTCACACACCCACTTGGTGGGTCCCACCAAAAACAAAACCACACACTCTCTCATACTCACACGCACATAACCACACCTTCTGATTTCTGAAAATACACAAATTCTCTCCAGCCCGTCGCCGCCCATTGCCGCCTGCTGCCTCCCGCCGACGCCCGCTGCCTCTCTCTCGAACCGTCTCTCTGTTTCTCTCGCACCGTCTGCCATCCTGCCACCCAGTCCGGCGTACTCTCCGCCTTTTCTCTCGGTGACGGCTGCAACCTCCTCCCGCCGGCGAGCTTTGATGATACCACTGCGAATGTCAAGACCGAGGCGCGCATATCGTACACCTCACCCGCTTCCTGCTCTCGAGCCGCGTCGTCATGAAAAAACGGATCTACGGCGGAAGGAAGCCGGAGACAACATTTCAGAAGATGCCGCCGAAGTCGAAATCATACAATAGATATTCTTACCGTCCACCGGGTGTTGTGCAGTGGCTTGATGAAATCTGCTATTTTGATTTGGTTGAAAGAAACGAGATGCAGTTCTCGATTTTGGGAGTTGGGTGTTTTTGGAATTTGGGGCCTTCAGGTTGTAAATTAGATAATTCATAGGGACTTGTTCGCAAATTAAGAATATTTAACTATATTATAATTAAGGTCATGGGTCAAATTTATAATTTATTAAAATTTAAAAATTGAACAACATTAATAGATAAATTGCACAATAATGTGTGCATATACGCACATTAAAAACTACTGTCATAGACATAAATATACATGCAGTCCCGCCGGTTTGTAGCCCTTTAGTGAAGACAAAAATGAAATGTAGCCATGTTTCTAGAAAAGATGAAATCTAGCCATTTAAGGGTTTAAAAGTACTAATCTACCCTTACTAATGTTTACCTATCAAAAATAAAAAAAAAAAAACAAAAAAAAAA